TAAGAAATCGGCAAACTATTATTGACGTCAATAATGTTTGCAAGTACATAAACTTTGTTTACATTTGTTAATAGCTACTAGTAGAAAAAACGTCACTTTTACTATTGACACCAATGATAATTAATTTTGTAATCGCTACTAATTGAAAAATAACAGAAAAAAATACTCTTATTAGTTTTGGAGAACCGTATAAGGTCGTCATACTATTACTGACACCATTGGAAATATGAACTCTTAGCATTATGGTAATAGGTTATTAATAGGCAGTTTTAATAGATACCAAATATACTCTTATATGAGTATAAACTAAAAAATTTCATTTCGATAATTCGTAATTACTGATATAATTAGCCTAATTGACAGCAATGCTATTTTTAACGAGGGAAGAGCCTATGATCACGTGTTCTTTATGAGATAAACAGAAAAAAACTCAATATTTTGTTAATACAGGGCAACTAGATTAAATAACATTATTGTTAAACACCAAAATGATATTAAGCTTCAAGACTTAATTTTAGCTCGCGTGTTCTCTACGAAATTAATGGAAAAAGAAGAGAAAATTTGATAGTAATGCTTTGACACGCTTTTGCAAAATAAATAAGTCTCAAAATTGTACCATATATTCCTTAAAAGATATGAAGAAAAAATAAATGAGTTTTATTTCGATATTTTGTTATTATCGGGAAAATCAGTTATATTGACGTGAAGCTATACAACACGTTTAAGCAAAACAAACGTTTCAAAATGCATTCTTTATGAAATAATGCGAAAAAATAAAAAAAAGTAGCAATTTCAAAATTTTGCAATTCATGAGACAATTAGCTAAATAGACACTAATGCTGGCTAACACAGTTTTACCAAAGCGGTGATGACGTGGTGGATGACCAGCTGGTCACTGAAGGTGGATAGCAAATGGATAAAAAATCTATTTCAAGTCCTTTCAGGGAGAATGGAATTTTTCAGATATAATGGTGGAGAAAGTAAAATAAATATTTTTGTTTGGCAAATCATCCAGCATTATACTGTGATTAAAATCTTTTCAATTGTTATAATGTTTTCATAGAAAGTAAAGTCTATATTTAATCATTCTTAAGCTGTTTAATTTGCAAAAAATATATTCCAGTTTTATAGTTTTCGTTCTATTTTTACAATTAATGTCAGTGCATCAAAATCTCCAGCTGTTCTTGCTCTAGTCTTTCTTAAGAGCATAAGATGAAAAGCGAGATTTAATAAATTTTTAAAAACTTTATAATCTATGCAACAAAGTTGGCTTAGTAACAAGCAGCAATCGCTTCTAGCTATGTATTAGTTACGCTAGTTTTAAATGTTTCTTAAAAGCATAAGATGAAAAGATAAATCTAATCATTTTTAAAATTAGGAAATGTTGGATTTAAATTATTTAGCTTTGGTATCGTTATCTTTCAACGAAATTTGAGAACGGAATTCAAGACGTCATAAAAATAAATTCCTTAATAATAAGAGCACTTTATTTAAATTTCAGTTTGCGTATTAGAATGGATAAAAGTTTCTCTTTCCTAACAAACACGTATAAATGAATAAAAAATCTATTTAAAATCTTTTCAGTGAGACTGAAATTTTTCAGATATACTGCTGGAGGAAATAAAACTATCTTCACAGGGCGAATCCTCTTCTTCAAAAGATCGCAGAAAAATTCATTTCAAAAGGAATCAGTGTAATGTTCACTTAGATATTCCAAAGGGTACGAGGGTCGTTTCAAAAGTGAATGCAGTAAAATAAAATACAAAAAGATGGAAGTAAGCAAAGAAAAAGGGATTTATCACGCGCATTGATATTCCGACTTCAAAGTTTCATTTAAAAAAGGAAATTCATATTTCAATGTATTTTGATGTGAAAGGATTTTCACTCCAATGACTCTTAAAGGTAGGCAAAAGGGTAGATATTTTTTTACTCTTCGCACTTTTCATAGATACTAAAAATGCAAAGAAAACTCTCTTCTAAAAGAATTTCTATATTAGACATACAAAGATTTTTTGTAAGGAAATGTTACTATTATATACCAAGTGTTTTAGTTTTTTGGCTTGATTAAAGATTCATATGTTTAATTTGAAATTCTTAAGATATTATATTCAGTTTGTAACTTTAGAAAAGGTTATGTTTTACAGACTTCTTACAGATTTTTCTTTTAAAAATTTAATAAGCATGCATTTTTTAATAAAAGAGAAAATGAAAGTGAAATAAGACTATAAATAAATAAATAAAAAGAGGGGAGTGGAGAAACTGTATATAAAAACAAATGGTATTTGTTTAAGCATTGATGAGAAAAATGAACAATAAATAAAGGTATATTTTTATATAATTAGAAATGATGGAATATTTTCTATATTCCTTATTAGATTCTCAGAATTTTTTGTTAGTTAAATCTTGTAATATAAGTCTAGTACTTCATTTTTCAAAGTTTGCAGCAAGATATAACATATGATTATTATAATACATTTTAAAATACTTATAATTTACAGTATTCCTAAATACCTTTCTTTAAAATGAAGTATTTGCTTATGGGTATGTTTCTCTTACTAAAAAAAGGAAAGATACAGTAAAAGCATATAGATAACTAAAAATTGGGGAAATTCTGCATATAAACACACACACACACACATATATATATATATACATATATATACATATATATATATATATATGTACATAGTATTTCCCCAATTTTTATTTGTCTACATGCTTTTACTGTATCTTTCCTTTTTTATATTATACTATACTTTTATGTTACATACTATACTCATATATGATAAATTTTAACTATTAAGGCCGCAAACTCTACTCATGGCATTTGGATCGTGTGCGTCGGCTGTGACATAACTAGAAACCACTCATAAAAGTAGTAAGTAAAGTTTAAAGATGGAAATTTTGATTTTAAAGATGTTTGCTTCTGTCGTCTAGCTGAGTTCAATGACTAGCGATTAAACCACGTTTTGCATCAAAATTTAGGTCAAGAAAAAAGAAACAAAGGTAATAAAATGTTTCCCTACTTGAAACGTTTTAAAAACAAAAATTTTTAATCGAACTTAAATATAT